TTGAACTGGGGAGTATTACAAAACACTTTGAACTGCTGCGTGTAGAAACCTGTCACATGCTAGGCGTTGTCACAAAAAGCGAGCTGTACGGTACCAGCTGCTCACAGATGTGAACTCTGTGTTATGATTACTGGTTTAAAGAATACCTTAAATAATGTAGTTCTCTGTTTTTAAAGATAATATTTTTTTATCTTTTTTTTCTCATTTGTAAATGATTCAAAGAGAGAATTAAAGATGGCTTTGGATACAATGACAAGCAATGCCAGTTAAAAATTTTAAAGGCTTTGTAGAGAAAAGACTAACATGATTTTTTACCAACTCTCAATTAAACGCATGTTGGGTAAGATTATGTAATAAATAATCGGTTTTAACAAAAACAATCTAAAATAATTTAAAACTCTTGAAATGCTGTATGTAGCACTGCTAGAAATGCAAGATGCTAATTTGTTCAACAAATTTTCAAGCTGTTGTCAACCATGGATGTCAACTTAAACAGCTGGTGCCTCTTCTTTCGACCAATTTTGTTCATGGAAAGAATTACTTTAGTCTGTATCAAGTGCCACGGTGATAGTGCATTCTTCAAATACCTCAGCAAAAGATTTTCAAAAATATTGGTTGATACAATATGGCTTGCAAGCCAATTATGGAAGAGTTGCCTCTGCTCTTGGAAAAAGGAGACAGTATGTCTTTTGATGTTGCTGCAGGAGGTAAAAGTGAAGGCCAGACAGATGTACAAGTTAGCACTCAGGAAAATGTGATAGAACCTGGTGACACATTGTCTGTAAGACGCAACCGTAGACCAAAACTTTCCACATTTTTCTCCAAAAGGACTGCATCCTTTGCTGACAATGCTTCTCCTACTACTGGGAGAATGTCTTTAGGTAAAACGCTAGGGAGAAAAATAATGAAATTTCTGAGAAGAACCCATAGTGAAGAGCAAGTTATATCAGAAGAAAATCTGACTTTGATGGAATCCTCTCCTTCTCCAAAAATGGGCTGTAGTAGCAGTAGTAAGAAAGGCAGTATGGATATCACTGTCCCAGACAAAGTGCAAGCTCTTCAAAAAGTTGATCAGCCACAAAAGCCCCCACGTCCACCTGCATTGCCAGCTTCTTACAGGATAAACCCTCAGGTGCCCCCAGAACCAACATATCAAGAAATTGGCTCTGTCTGCATTGACAACACAACGCAAGATGTTTCAACACAGTGTTTGATCTTGAACACTTCTTCTGATGCTGGAGATTCTGCTGCCAAATTCATTGGCATGGCAACCCCAAAACCAATCCAAAGACGCACAAGTAATGTGTATGACACTGTGACAATTCGGAGCTTGCATGAGGGAGGTCCAGTTGTAGATGAAAAGCCTAAAATGGTGGTGAAACCACAACCAAAGCTTACAGCAGAAAAAAACATGGAGCCCAAACAACCTGAAGTAGCTTCCCTGGATGAAAGAACACCTGCTACAGATGAAACAGAAGGAGGCTATGATGAGAATGACTACATAAGTGAACAGCATGAATTGGAAACTCTCTTGGGTATGGAATTTTTCAACATTTTTTCAGTGAAAAAATTCGGTCCATGTGAAATTGATGCTTAGAGTAGCCAACCAAAAACACAAAATTCAGAAAAAATAATCTCGTAAATGTACATCAAATATAAGTCGGTGAGAGTTTGGTGTGTTAGGATATATATTGTTCCAAGTAGCCAAGAATTTAAGCAAGGGGACAGTTATTTTGTCTCTTAAATTGCTAACAGGTATCCTGAGTTAAAGGGTAAAAATATCCTCCCCTCTATAGGCTCTCCTCTACCCAGAATATTTGCTGTCAGTATATTTGACGCGTCCAATCGTCTCTGAAACTCGAGGTAAAGAAAAACAATACATGTTTGAAAATGTCCCAGAGTATATATTTTCATGTCTGAATATCTGACTCAGCTACCTACCTTTCCCAATGCAGACTTAAATAATAATAAAACCCTCCAAATAAAAGTATCCAATATTGATAATTTCTATGACATTTTAATTGTTTGGCCAGACATTTAGAACTAAATGATTTATTTGGAAATGGTATAAAACATCAAATCAAAGTGCAGGGATGGGTCAAGCAATGGACCTGGAGTAAGAGAAAATCACATTTTGTACTAAGGAAAATTAAATTTGGCACAGATATCCCAAATAAGATGCCTTAAATGTCATAACCCTGTAGCACATAAAAACTAGGTTTGAGAGGATGGATTAGTTTAAAGAAGACTTATGCTTTGGTTTATGGTTTGGACTTGATTACAACATCAAGTATTTTTAGACCATGGAGTAAGATTTTTTAGGCTACCATATTGGATTTGGTGACCATGTTGAGATTTTCAGATATATCACAATAACGTTGATAAAAAAGCACTATTTTGAATATGTCAAATTTCACGCTTGCCCAGTGCATTATTCCCCTCTCCCATTATGGGCAAAAATTGCTGATTAAATAAAATTTGTGTTTCTTGCAAACTTCTTAGGATGAATTGCTTTTAATTTCATCTTTTTCAAAATGATATTAAATTGACATACATATCTAACAATAGGAAGAATGCTAGCCTCTTGAGGTTATAGTTATCTTTTCCTAAATGAAAAGGATCTCATCTGTTTAACAATAAGAGGAATGCAAGCCCTCTGAAGACCTTCAGTACAGACATGCAATGTAGCCTGAAAATTAGTCAAGGCACAGGTAATGTAGTTTACCTGAACCAGTGGTATACCTGTGGGGAGCAATGAAGGACTATAAATTTTACGATCTCATGCACGTGTCATGGAGCACCTTCAGGTGGATGTACAGTTGAAGCTGTATGTTAGCAAATGGAATTTATGTAGAGATGGTGTTTATGTTTGGAGATAAAAAGAATGTGTTAATTGTAACATTTGGTAATAATAATAATAATAACAATATACATTCTTGCAACTAAAAGTTGGATTTAAAATGCACTATAAAAGAGTATTAAAAGTAACTAAAACATGTTATGGCACTAGAAATATAAAACACGAATTCACTAATTTAAATATTACATTAATCTGCTTCTTAAAAATAGTTCAGTAACATAAAAAAAGAATTCATTTATAATGTATGGTGGTTGAATCTTGAAAAATTCTAATACATCATTATGTTAGACAAGGAAAACCTTAGTTCAAATGAAATTGGATTTTTTTTTTACTTTTGCAAGTTAATTTATAGTCTTACCCAACACTTGGAAGGAAAGGGTAGGGTAAAATTTATCTGTTGACTTGCTGTTAAAGATATTTAATCGTGGGAGCATTTATCTGTTAATGCAAAAAATAGCAAAGTTTAAATGAATAAGGAAAAAAGGCTGCAATAAGTCTGATATTTTTAAACTTTTATAGTGCTCTGAGAAACGCCTTCCTTCACTATGGACCATTTCCAGTTAGCATTCAAAGCTTGCGATAATCACCACAGGCCGTGACTGATAATAATGTATGATATAGTTGTACTGTTTATGGGTGGTATGGATAATGGCACCGACTGATAATGCACAGAACACATAAAATAATGGACTGCACACTGTTGAAACATTAAAGTTCTTCTGCCACTAGGGACCCATTGTCATATAGTCCATCACATTATGATATGCCAGGCTGTATTCAAGTGATTTACTTTGTTGTAAAAACCAATAAGCATGTGGAATTTTTCTGAGACTAATTTGATTTGACATTTAAAAATGAATTTGTTTTGCCAGATTTGAAAAAAATGAAAAGGAGTAAAAAAGTTGACAACCAGCTTATTTGATGTTTTGCTTGTGTATTGTACTTCTGTAGGCATTATATATTCCTTAAACAACTTTCGTGAGTTCTCCTTTTTGGGAGTCATGATTTGTTGAATCAGTGTTACGGTATCATACTGTGCAAGTTGCTTGAGCAAGATGTTTCAAAGCAGATAAAAATCATGACGTTGTGATACTGTCATGAGAGATTTATGCCCTCCCCTCCTTTTTACCTTCAAGGTTCTACGAATCCATATTGAAGTTGTAAAGGTGTTCATGATATTTCTAATTGCCATGCCAAGAAGAACTAAGAATAATGGTTGGATATTGTCTGTAATTACATCAAAATTTTCAACAGAAATTATGTTCTGTATTCTTAAGTTATTTTTTAACCACCACTCATAAATATTTTAATGAATTAATTAAAGGACAATAAAGAAATTATAATAACATAGCAAATGTGCCCTGTTCATAAACACCCCTCCCCAAGTCTGCTACAGCATTTCTTGAACATTACACAGTAGCCTACATGTATCTCGAGAGACCAACTAGGATAATTAGTTGGCATGCCCCATGTAATTATCCATTCTGTTGTCCCATAGATCAGTGAATGTTGCCCATTGTTCTAGCTTTATGAGCAGAACATTTTAGAAGCGGATAAGCCTCAGACTGGTACTCATTGATAAATGAAGAAAGATGCCCTATTATGGCTGGGTCACAAATTATCTGACCCATGTTATCTGATCTAAAGAAGTTATTATTGTACAGAATGTGTTATTAAATACAAAAAGTATCTGTTTTATAAATGGAATGCATAAGGATTGATGGTAATACTGAGTGTGTTAGTTGGGATGAAGATGTTAATAGACCATCTTGGAGGAAATGCATTTTGACATTTTGCACATATTTCTCATAGCACATTTTCTGATATCTGTGTTAACTACAGTCCAATTTTTATCATAAAGATTTAAAAAATAAGTAGAAAAATCATTAAAAGATGCAGATGGTAAACTTCCAGAATGTTTATGTACAAATTTTACATAGCAGTGTTGACTCATCGTCCAGAAAATAATAAAGTAATGCTACTTAGTACATATGAGCATGTGCTATATATATACAACTAGACTATAACTTCCAGTATTTAGCTCAATGGGTTTGGCAGAAACATTTGACCTGACCCCATAATTCTTCAAACAAACATCTGCATTGCAGGAGCTCCCTGTATGAATGTATAAAGAGTGTTTTAGCTTTGTTTACATATATTTTAGGGGGTAAATATTGAACTGAACTGTATTTTTTGTGTATAAAGCAACATACTAACCGTATGTATGAAAAGATAAGAGAGAGGTCATGGTGGATTTTCTGTTAAATGGTCTGGCATTTACTGAGGTGGGTTTCAGATTTTAGCTTTGAACCACATCACTGGTATTTTTATATTTTCTAGGTTATGTTTTTTTTCCGTGTAGTTTAAGGAAGGAAACAGTAAATACTCATTTGCACCTGGCACCATTTGGCTCAGTTCTTAGTCTCAGGTGTTGAGGATAAAAAAATAATAAAGGATGATCATGTTGGACTCTCAAAGTTGTCAATCATGGGTGATACCTTAACTAAAGACACCATTAATAAATTAAAAGTTAGAATGGATCCTGAAGGTGCTTTCACATGTCACCATTCCAGCTGCAATTTTGCTATATTCTTATTGAATCGTGACATGGATGTTACAGGTATGTGAGGTACAGAGTGCATATTGTGTTCAGGTGTCATGGGTAACAATTAAAACTGTCTGTGGAATAACGTGAACTGCCATTTGTGAAGATTGTGTAATGCTACCTCATCCATGCTAATGGTGAAAAAAACATGTTGAAGCAACTACTGTTAAGATTTTCTCCAATTCATGACATACCATGTATATATAGAGTGTTTTTTCATTATGGTCTTATAATATTATAAGCAGTAAAGGTTACGTTATTCGTATGTAACTTCCATGATTTTATTAGTTTACCTGTGTAGTGACAAAAAAGTGTAAGTCAGTCTTCATACCTATTCAGTTCTTATTTATTTAGCATATTTTTACATGGAAATGCCAAATGGAATCATTAGCTTATGTTGTAAGTTATTTTATTATTTCAATTTCAGCTGCCAAAATGCTTCAGCAAATTTTGCGGGACATGTACATCGAGCCAGAGCTGCTGGCAGAACTGTCAGAGGAACAAAAACAGATCCTTTTCTGTAAAATGAGAGAGGTATGTTAATTGTGACAAGTTAACTGTATGTGCATGCTTTTCTTTGGAAATAAATTTAAAATACATTATGCTTTAAGTTGTATTTGTGTATTGCATAATATTATGTTGATTGTAAGCATATGGGTAGTAAAACAACTAGGTAAACCAGTTACGATAACACAAGCAACTTTTTGTTTCAAAAATGTACATAGAATATAATGATAGCATGTGTATGACATTAACTCCCTTCTTAAGGAACAAGTGAAAAAATGGAAAGAAAAAGAAGCAGTATTAGAGGAGGAAGAGAAAAAGAAGCCCAGAAAACCAAGAAAACCAGGTAAATATTGTCATTAATTTTTAAAAATGAAGACAAGAAATATGCAGTATTCTAAGAGATGACAAAACAGAATAACTGTTATATGTCTGTTTATGGTAACGGAAACCTGCCTATAAAGTGTCTGATATAATTCAGAGAAACTACCTGCAAGTAGTCATTGAATATGGTTATAATTTTTCATTGATCAAGTTAAGTATATTTAACATTTAAGGTATAAAAAAGTGCTATTATAAATTATATTTTGCAAAGAAATTTGCAGGAGGGTTAAATTTAAAATATTATTTTGAGGTATATTAATTTTCACAGTGAAATGAAACTAATGGTGTTTTGTTAAGGAGACTACTTGTCTCAGATATATTGGGTCTGGTCATTGACGACATTGTGGATACCATTAAGTTTGGGTAACATGGGCAATCTTCTTTTACTGGTATGTCTGATCAACTGGTTTTGCAGGTTATATCAACCAGTATTTTTTCTATTTAAATCTGCAGCAAAGGTTCATATTTGATAGCATTGTTGAATTGTATTGAAAATATTGTTATTCAATCCATAAAATATGGCATTAAATTTGTATTTATATCCCCTTCAGGTCATTGTATTTGTGCCACTGCCGCAATTAGAAATATTTCACAGTTCCAGTAACAGAGTTTCAGCCTAATTCGCAATCTCTTAAATGAAATATATGTCAACTTTTTTTATCAAAAATTACTGCTCCTTTTTGTAAATAGTATTGATTGGATATAATTCTTCAGTAATTACACTTACAATTGAGATGTTAGGATGTATGAGCCAGTATTGATTATCATAATTATTGCATAATTAATATTCTTAGGAATTTCCTTTGTTCAAAGATTAACTATTCTTCTCCAGTATAAAAGATTAGTCATGTTGGTAACATGTGCGTGTTACAGCATATAGTGTCTGAGAAGTAAGTTTTGGTTAGGTTATTTATATGACATCCTTTTGGTGGAAAATATCTGTGTTTTTACATCTTGTTTTGGTCATTTTGAACAAACAGTATTAAAATATTTGTGGAAAGGTAACTATAGATGTATGACAATAAGAAAAAAGGAGTTTAAAGGAATGATTCAAGGTTTAAGTTTTGTGGTCATGCTCAGGAAATGGGTATTTTTTCCTGAAGAAGGTGATGAAGGAGATGCCCCCTCCAATCATTCAAGCAGTTGGTGGTATTACTCATTGTTCAATGAAAAGTGAAAATTTTATTTCAAAAAAATTCTCAAAATAAACTTTAAAGACAGTACAGCATTATATTTTCAGCTATTATCAGTATGCTCAGCAATCTTGTTAACAACTTGACACCAGCAATATCTAGTTTCTATATGGATACTTGCCTTTTGTTTGGTGTGATATACTGCTTGCCTCAGGTTTTGTTTGAATGTGTGAATCAATATTTAATCAAAGCTTAACTTCTTTAAAAGATCTCCTGATTAGCATAGCACAGAGAAATATAATCCCCCATTTCTTCAGCTGAAGGGCAATTATGAATTATCATGGAGAAATGCCAGTCGGCTTCCGTGCATTTGGTGACAAAGCGCGTCTCACCTCAAAGACTCCATTTCCATTTTTATTAAGCAGATCATCCAACTAGCTCTTTCTGTATGATTGGGCAAGAATAGCAAAACCACAGTTTTATCACAATAATGGTTTCAATTCACTGAGAATTAATCACATTTGAGAGTTATTGATATGCATCATACTTAATGATTAGGCCTGTTGTCTTGTTTTCTATTGGTCCATGATTCAGTACAAAAGAGGGCATTTGCTGGCTGTGTGTTATTGAGGATGGATGAGCCAGAGTGTGGATAAGCCAGACATGTTTGAAACATTTATTAGTGTTTTTAAACATTTTTGGGGAAATACTTTCAAAAGGAGTTTTCGTAAAACAAGGTATTAATATGGTAAGTAAGAGAGAGAGAGAGAGAGAGAGAGAGAGAGTTGCAGACTCAATGTGTTTTGTGTATGTAGGCGAAAGATAGATGATGAGAGAGAGAAAAAAGAAAATGAAAGACAAAGGGAGGAAAGGAAATGATAGCTGAAAGACAGTAAATTAATGGAGATTTATGGTGGTGTTTTGAACTTGCACAATCACTGTGTTCAGGATGAGCAGATAAGTCAAAACAAGAAATCATTGGCATTTAACTGCCTCATTAAAATCTCATTGCAAGCTGGCATTATATTTCATGGGAGTAGATTAAAGCTATTAGAGAGGAATAAGAAAAGCGTCTGTGCACCTTGGGCTGTACCAATTAATAGACCAATCAGTCATTTGATGAGCAGGCCATTCTTCTCAATTTATTGTTTTTTGCAAAAGAGAATAAGTAACTCCCCCTAGTTCATACATTTTTGTTATCAGTTTAGAGCCATGCACTCGGTAAATGTTAGGAGCATCATTCTGTCTGTTATTTGTGATTGTGGTTTATTATCAATATGACCTATACAGACCAAAGGAGAACTCAGGAAAAGGATGTCTGACTCAGATACCACTGTGTGTCAGCTTTTTTCAAGACTGTATAATTCTCTCTGTTTCTATATTCTTTTTATATTGTACATCATTTTTCTAATATTTGTCTTTTTTCCTTTGTTTTTTATTTATTTAGAATTTTTTTACGAAAGAGTTGTTTGAATCTTCTTTGAGCAATTGTATTTAGGTCATTAAGAATGATTTTTGGGGAAAAGTAAAGTTCCACCCAAAAATGATATTTTACAGTACACTGTAGTAGACTCAAAACAGGAACTAGTAGACGATATTCCTCACTTTTGAAGGAAAAGAAACTAAGAAGCACCTGTGTAGCCTGTGAGTTGGGATTTGTATAGAAAAATGTAGATTTTTAGTTTAAAATTTAACGGGTTAACGTAGATTATTGATTATTGTAGATTGCATCTAGCCTGGTGCTATTTGCACTTTGTAGTTGTTTTCATATGATATTCATAACAAGAAAGCACATAATAGGTACTGCAGTTTAAACCACAGTAGAGAAGTATGGGTGATTCTGTCTTCCATTGATATATTATCATGAAAAAAATCTGTCTTAGTTTTGGTTGAAGAAACTGCTACTTAGGTGATAACAAATTTTATGGTGAGTTTAGTTGTAAAAAACTTATGTTTTGTTAAAGGAGGAACATCAAAAGGATGTTTTATAGTCAAAAATATTATTTAAAATACACAGTGAATGATTAACTTGTGTTAACTTAGGTCATTGAGTGATGATGGGGAAGACACAAACCCTTATATCAAATCCCCCCTCCCCCTTCTTTAATGCAAAGGAGTGATTAAGAAGATAATTGGTCATAACCTTTAAGGATAATATCAAGATGAGGAGAGATGGTGAAATTCTGCAGTTTTGCACCAATAAATTATGCCAATGTGTGGTCTTTCACGCCACAATTTTTTTCTGATAGCATCTGAATAAGCGTATGGAATGCAATGCCGCTCTTGATTTTAGTGTTGATGATCTGCCTTCCTTTGCCATTGCAAGGTTGATTTTAGTGTTGATGATCTGCCTTCCTTTGCCATTGCAAGGTTGAGGTATGTTGTTAGGAAATTTTGGTTGGATGTGTATACCTCATTTTTATCTGGTTTATACATCAATCAGCTTATTTGTTTTATTGATTTTTCATCTTCCTAATTGAATATATAGAGTACTAAATAACATGCAATATTAAAAATGGGATATATATATATATATATATATATATATATATATATATATATATATATATATATATATATATATATATATATATATATATATATATATATATATATATATATCTCCCATTATCAATATTGCATGTTATTTAGTACTTTGTAATAAGACATCTGTTAAAGAAGAAGATTGAAAAAGAGTGTCAGAGGGATTACCAGATATTTTCTAGACAATGTAAGCCAGGCTTTATACATGGTTGGCTTTCTAGGCTCTGTCCACATGACCTTGTTCATGGCCATTGCGTGTTGCTCTTGATGCATTAGACATCTCCCAGACTGTTCCAAACATTGTTCTCCATTTGTCAGGCATTTGCCACAATGCAACGTCACCATTCAGATGTATAACAGATCAATGTAAGTATGCATGGTAAAATAATATATGATTGATAATTCTTGATATTTCAGGATCCAAGAAGGTGAACTTTTTACAAGGCAAAGATGGCAATGACTGGGTCTGGGTGATGGGGGAACATCCAGACGACAAAACCATAGAACAAATTATTGAAGAAGAAACTATAGCAAAAGCAGCAAAACTGGCTGAACAAGAGGCAGAGGAATTGAGGTAATATGACAGTTTCTCTATTTATAATGATAATGAAAATGGAAAACACTGTTCCAAGATGATTTTATGAACAGTGTGGTCACATTGCATTTTCAACTGAGACGGTTGTTTTACTGCTTTCAGTCATAAACATTATCTGTTTCTCTTTATTGTCTTGTATTTATTGACCAGGTCAAAAATTTCCATTTTATTTGTCTGCTGGTTCTTTTATAACCTGGCTTGTGAATTTTTATATAATGGGGGTTTAAAAGAAGGATTTATGGTGAATTGAGGAGATTTGGTACAGAAAATGATATTATTATCATTGTTGATATAAATCCAGTGACAGAGCCTGAACTATTTTAGTTATATCATATCAGTTGTAAAATTTGACCTACTTGAACCACTGTAAATTAGATTATGTTAAAGTCATCTATTGCTAATTTAAAATGCAATTAACTAGAACCCATATGTAAGGTGATCATTCACAGAAGGCCATAAATGTCATTTCTCTGAACATTGAGTAAAATGGAAAATTAATTAATTTGAAGTTGTACAAGTGATGGGAAATATGAGATCTATTTTTATTTACCAGATCAGACATATTCTAATCTGATTATTTATTGGAATCAGAAAGGTTAATATATAATAATTATGACACACAGATTTCATATCAGTTCTTTAAGGTTGGACGTATGGTGGAATTTTCATTTGATTCATGATTTTTGAAAAAATCTTTGTTAGATTCCACCTTATAAACAAATATATACTTTTTTTTATAATTACATTCCTGTAATGGAACTGAAAATATTGATGAGTCAAACCAACATTAGTGTTTGACTTGTCTGCCACAAGCAACATTATTTCCCCGTCAGTGTACAAATTCGATAGAGGAAGGCCTCAGATTTGTCTTTCATTTTTTCTCCTGACTCCCTGGAGACAATGCAAATGTATACTCGTGTTAAATCAGCCTAACGTTACTTATAGAGGGAAGTAAGGTAAAATCAATAGTGAGAACACCATGCACTAGACAGTCAAAGATAAGGCTGGAGTAATCAGAGACTGGAAAAGTCCTTGGCTGCTAAATATTTGGAGGTTGGGAGTATTGGTTCTCAGATAACTTTGCATACCTAGTTCTTGAATTTGAGGCTGCTTTTGAACAAATGAAGTAGATCTTTACAATCTATCCCTAAGAAAGGAGGGCAACAGAAGAATGAGATTGGAAAGATAAGGCTTTAGAATCTCTCAGCTCAAGTTGCTCTCAGAGGTATGTAGTCATCTTGGCACAAGTGCAACTCTCTCACACTTAGTAATTACCCTTAATGTATCCTTTTTACTAATTCATCAGGAGGAAAGAGGAGGAAGAAATAAAGCTAAAAATGAAGGAAGAACAGGAAAGATTAGAAAAAAAGCTGCAAGAAGAGGAAGCAGAAATGAAGTAAGTGTTTCCTGGAAAGATTTTTTGCTTGAAAATTTACATTTGTTCTTCTGCTTAAATTGCATGGACAAAGTATTACTTTTTTCAAAACTTCTTTCGTATGTAATGATTTCAAAGATGTATTCAGTTGTCTCATATTTAAAATGTATTGAGAATTCACTGTAAAAAAAATACCGAGTCTCTTAATTAAGTCAGCAAAGACATCAGATTGGATTTAAATGATTTGAATTTTTTATTTGCTTATTTGTTAAGTGACAAGTGAGTACCATTCCCATTTCCTTTACGGTACATGTAACCTAACAAAATCAATTGTTTAAGCAAAAAGTATGGATTTTTTCATGTTGGGCCCATAATTTTCAACAGTGATAGATTATGAAGCAGAACACCAGACACACAGCAATGTCTCTAACTTGAAAATAATGAGATAAGCTTTCAGCAATGGAATGCTTCTCTGCATTGATTTCACATTTTAAAGTTTCTCTGAGGACTCCTAATGATTTCCACTGACCTCATTTGCTTCTTGTAAATATGACCTTAATTCAAAGATTTCTTACCTACGTGCTGATGATACAAATAAAAATGAACTAAAATAGGTAATTTTATCCATATTGTATTCATACACAGAAAAATTTATGAATATTTGTTCTTTTTAAGAGATTTAACTCATGTTGCCACAAAATTATTTGTATGATTACTGATTTAAAACATTTACATTTGTTTTTAAATCTAGCAATTTTCATAAGTGTATTTTATTTATCCAAAATGGTGCATAATAGTAAAAAAACATAACATCTGCTGTTTTTTAGTGAAAATTACTGCGTATAGTACCTGTTCTTTCTTTGACAGACAAAGGCTCCCGAAATAACCCATCATCTTTCTCTTCCATGATTACTCAGAGAATAGTCCGTGAGCATAACATGAACAAGAAATTGAAATGTAATTAGTAAGGAGGGATAATTAGACTTATCAATCATAACAATGACTCATCAACAGGCGTGAAAGCTTAATTATAAAATCAATGAAACGGCCTATGCTTCCTTGATCTAGCCATTCATCCTGTCAAACCTAAGTGCAAACGTGATATTTTGTGCTATCAGTTCTGTTCACACATTGGAACTAGAATAGCACTCCAAGAGCGCAGACCTCCGCCAAGGCAGCAATTTTTGATAATTATTGATTATTGATTGATTATTGATCACCACCAAAAACTAATCGTCTCTTCCTTGGCCCACTTCTGACAGTTCCTGAAAATTTCATCAAAAATCGGTCCATAACTTTTTGAGTTATGCTGATGACAGACAAACAAACATACAAACAGGGGTGAAAACATAACCTCCTTGGCGGAGGTAATAATTTAAAAACTTAAAAAATGGACTAAATTACATCTGCACTAGTACTGAGCAGGTCAGTGAAATGGGATCCAGTATGAATTGTCTTTATTAAACATTTTTGTACATACAGTATTTATATGCCATTTGGTGCAGCCTAGTCAAATAAATATTTGTTTCAGACTTGTAAATAGTAGTTGTCAAATTTTTTAAAAACTTCATAAATTAATTGATTTGTTTATTTAATTATTAGAATGTATTGATTTATACCCTAAATGTAAAGCTTTATGACCAGTAAATGAATTCATTTTTTTGTAATGCCTCTGTGAACTCACCATTTGCTTCACTTCACGACCAATAAACTAATCTTTAACAAGTTGTTGTAAATAAAATAGGCGATGATGAAAAAGAGTAACAGTAACATAAATATTTATATTTTTTGTCTTAGGAGGAAACAAGAAGAAGCAGCTTTATACCAATCTCTAAAGGAAGCAAGATTAGCAGCAGAGAAATTAGAAGCAGAAAAAGTAAAGATAGAAAAAGAGGAAAAGGCTAAATTAGCAGAGCTGAAGGTAGGGATTTTCAGATCTCCAGAGGGAAGAGACACTATACAAATCCTACAAAAAGTACTAAGATAATTTGATCATTTTAGAGTTTTTATGTAGAATTTTGTAACAGAGATCTTAGAATCTTAGAATTAGTGGGGATATTCACAGAATATTACATTCCTTTAATTTATATTGCATTAATGCTTAAAGTAAAATAGATATCCTTTCCCCATGTCCCACTATAATGTATTTAGGAAGGTCCCCTTTAGTGGTTCGTATATGAGTTATAACAGTGAGGTTTGCAAAATTTTGCTTCACAAAAGATTTTCCAATGTGTGTGGCCTAATGTGGAAACTTTGAAATTCAACAAAAGGATTTTTGAGTGAATAATGGTTTGTTCAGTTGCACAATTTGCATTAAAAATATTTATTTATATATTCAACTTGAAATCAGCTGTTAGCAGAATATGGGAATCCTATAGTGATGATACAGTGTAAAAACTCCACTTTTCATCAAAATATTTCAAGGTTTCTTTTTGACAGTGTTCTAATTATTTTGCGATTTCCGTATGCAATAATGCTTGTATGAGATTTCAAGCAACCATATACATATAATGTGCACCAGGACAGATGATACAGCAAGCAACAAGCTTTAGAATATTTATTCTTTCACACAGCCACCCGCCAGTAATGGGTTTCTAAGCCCCGGGGGATACGCAACATGTAGCTATGGAGACCCATTCGATACACCAGATACCAGTGCAAGTAGTCCTCTCACAGTCTGCATGTTATACTTACTTATGAACCTATGGGAAAGATGGGATTTTTTTCCAGATTTAAAAGCCCTGTTTGCTAATATCCACCCTACTAACAAAATGGCCATTTTTGCAAAATTTCTATTTGCTGTTTTGGATCAGTTCCAGATAGTTGCTGGCATGGCTGATTGGCAACCCAAATGTATTGATTTTTTTATTTACTTATTTAAAACTGGTCTAAAAGCTAATAACTCTATTGGTATGGTATTTTAATTACAATGCTTTGGCTCAATTTTGTATAGAAAAAATTTATTTGAATTTGAAATATTCAAAAATGATAAAAGTTTTTCTTCTAATAGTATTTTCAATATGTGTGGAATACTTATTACACTTAAGACCATACCGGTAGATATGTGAGCATTAGTACTTGTATGCATTGGTTTCAAGTATTTTCTACATTCTGGAAACAAGTAAGCAGACAGACGATTGTTAAATGGCTGCTAAAGTATGCTTTTCACAAAAAAAAAGACTTGATAAAATGTTTTTTTTTTTTTTTTTTTTTGCACAGTTGTTACTTATCATTTAAAAGGGTGATCATTTTATGTTCATTGATCTAAATTTGCATGAATAACTGTATGCAGGTACTTGCCAAGAGCAAACTTGAATCAAATTCAATATTTGTCACAACCAAAAATATGTAGAAAATACTTCACCATTTTAATCAGCAAATGGCAATCATGAGAATTGCCAATATTCTCGTGCGTTGGACAGGGAATGAATTCTTTAATGATTTGAGTACAAGCCAGAGTTGGTCAGTTTGTGTCATGGTTGATTTTTGATTGTTCATTTGTAGCTAGTCCAAAAGGTTTGTTATGTTTTAGAATTTTTGGTGTGTTCTGGTTGTGGTTGGATGGCAGGGAAAGGCAGTTGCTAGTATAGATATATTTTTATAATAATTGGACAAAGATGGCAGCTATTGCATGTTTCATGTTGTTGATGCCTATATGAAATGGTATGCAACAAAAACTTGAACATATATGTCCATAACAGTTAATAGAATGTTGCTTATAACAAAGTTTCTAAGTAACAAATATTACTCATAATAGACTGCAATTTGCTTTTCAGAAAATATCATTCCTAAACGTTTAAAACATTTATCTTGTTGATAACATCATGTATCTTTACCCAGAGCTAACATGTTGTCATAATCCCTTTTTATGTGCAGATTAGAAACCATCATTTAAATTACTAGCATTATTGAGGAGCATGAAATGGTTTGGATATGTACCTGGCAGTCAATAACACAAGAATTAAATTCATTGCCTTTTTTACTACCCATGTTATTAGAAAAGTTAACTTATTAAACACTGAAAATTTGACTGCTGATTTTGAAAGAGATGGTAAGACAAAGCAAAATGGATTCAACCAAGAGCTGGCTTTGTATGTGCTGGGGAAAAATGTTTTTGTATTTAGTTCAACTTACTTTTAAAGCATGATACTAATTTTGTAGGAAAGGTTTTACCTGGTTATGTGTTAACTTATTTACCATTTTAACCCAGATATGATTCATATATGCTAGCATATTGTGTATCATTTAGCTGTATGTATGCATATGAATTTACAACCAAAATGTTACAGAAAGTTTTGTTGTTTTATGGCTGAAGATTGGATTAAGATAAACCTTTTTGGTAAATGAATAATGATATCTAAGAATAGCATTATTAAGATTTCTAGATTATTTTTATTAGTTGAATCTAAGTATTTCTATGTATGGTGTGATATGCATCAATTTTCATGTCATCATTTTTTTTTTATTATTTATTTTTCTCAGCTAAGTAAATAATGGTTATAACAAATGTTTTGAACAGTATTTCTTCACATTTGTAGGCCAAAGCTCAAATAAACCAGAAACAATCAGAAGAGAAAGCAAAGAAGATGAGGGAGAGAAGGAGCAGTGAGCTTTACATGTCTTTCAGGGAGGCGAGGAAAAAATTTGAAAAAATGGCGGAAGAATCTGGAAAGGTGTTGGAGGCAGAGTGGGAGGAGCAGGGTGAGACTCATGGCCTGAAACTGAAAGTGGTTGATTTTTCTTTTTTGTATTTTTATCAATTTTTGTCAGATTTCTGATATGGCTGTTAGAGGGGCTCATTACTGACCTACATGCAATGTATTACTGCTCTGAATATTAGAGGGTATGTTTTAGGTGAGTGGAAGTAAGAAGTAAAAGAGTATTTTATAAAGGCTGTATATTGTTTTTTTTATTAATTTAACCCAGAAAGATATATATGTTGATATATATTGTTAATTTCAGAGAAAAAAGCAAAAGAAGCAGAAAAAGATATGAGAGAGATTGCACGAAGAGCTCGTGAAGAGCACCGCCGTTCAACCATGTCACTGACACACGAGGTCATAGANGATTTGAGTACAAGCCAGAGTTGGTCAGTTTGTGTCATGGTTGATTTTTGATTGTTCATTTGTAGCTAGTCCAAAAGGTTTGTTATGTTTTAGAATTTTTGGTGTGTTCTGGTTGTGGTTGGATGGCAGGGAAAGGCAGTTGCTAGTATAGATATATTTTTATAATAATTGGACAAAGATGGCAGCTATTGCATGTTTCATGTTGTTGATGCCTATATGAAATGGTATGCAACAAAAACTTGAACATATATGTCCATAACAGTTAATAGAATGTTGCTTATAACAAAGTTTCTAAGTAACAAATATTACTCATAATAGACTGCAATTTGCTTTTCAGAAAATATCATTCCTAAACGTTTAAAACATTTATCTTGTTGATAACATCATGTATCTTTACCCAGAGCTAACATGTTGTCATAATCCCTTTTTATGTGCAGATTAGAAACCATCATTTAAATTACTAGCATTATTGAGGAGCATGAAATGGTTTGGATATGTACCTGGCAGTCAATAACACAAGAATTAAATTCATTGCCTTTTTTACTACCCATGTTATTAGAAAAGTTAACTTATTAAACACTGAAAATTTGACTGCTGATTTTGAAAGAGATGGTAAGACAAAGCAAAATGGATTCAACCAAGAGCTGGCTTTGTATGTGCTGGGGAAAAATGTTTTTGTATTTAGTTCAACTTACTTTTAAAGCATGATACTAATTTTGTAGGAAAGGTTTTACCTGGTTATGTGTTAACTTATTTACCATTTTAACCCAGATATGATTCATATATGCTAGCATATTGTGTATCATTTAGCTGTATGTATGCATATGAATTTACAACCAAAATGTTACAGAAAGTTTTGTTGTTTTATGGCTGAAGATTGGATTAAGATAAACCTTTTTGGTAAATGAATAATGATATCTAAGAATAGCATTATTAAGATTTCTAGATTATTTTTATTAGTTGAATCTAAGTATTTCTATGTATGGTGTGATATGCATCAATTTTCATGTCATCATTTTTTTTTTATTATTTATTTTTCTCAGCTAAGTAAATAATGGTTATAACAAATGTTTTGAACAGTATTTCTTCACATTTGTAGGCCAAAGCTCAAATAAACCAGAAACAATCAGAAGAGAAAGCAAAGAAGATGAGGGAGAGAAGGAGCAGTGAGCTTTACATGTCTTTCAGGGAGGCGAGGAAAAAATTTGAAAAAATGGCGGAAGAATCTGGAAAGGTGTTGGAGGCAGAGTGGGAGGAGCAGGGTGAGACTCATGGCCTGAAACTGAAAGTGGTTGATTTTTCTTTTTTGTATTTTTATCAATTTTTGTCAGATTTCTGATATGGCTGTTAGAGGGGCTCATTACTGACCTACATGCAATGTATTACTGCTCTGAATATTAGAGGGTATGTTTTAGGTGAGTGGAAGTAAGAAGTAAAAGAGTATTTTATAAAGGCTGTATATTGTTTTTTTTATTAATTTAACCCAGAAAGATATATATGTTGATATATATTGTTAATTTCAGAGAAAAAAGCAAAAGAAGCAGAAAAAGATATGAGAGAGATTGCACGAAGAGCTCGTGAAGAGCACCGCCGTTCAACCATGTCACTGACACACGAGGTCATAGATGCCTTTACGCACAGCTTACAACAACAGAGCATAGCAGATGCACCTCCTGTGCCTGACAAGTAAGAGTTTCTCCTTTGCTTTGGGACATTAATATTTCAAAGTGGGCTGCTTACATGTTGGTTCAATGGCATGCTGCTTTGTGTTTGTTAGGTGCTGTAGGTTGACTTATAGAATTTATTCAGGATCTCTTTCTTCAAAGTGATTTATCTATTGATCATACCATGCACTTTCATATTTTAATATAACAAAATGCTCGATTCACTCAGGAAATAGTGTGGATAGATTTTGTTGTTAATAGAGAAATGAATTACAACTCCGTGCCAAAATCACGTAAGTGAGACCAATGTCATGTATTACAGAAACACCGCTCCCAGTACAAATAACAATCTTCCCCCAACCAAGAAAAGTCGTCCTCCCCGTCCCATGTGCAAAAATGATGTGATAGAGTGGTTCAAGAATGTTGAAAGGATTAAAGGTTCGGGCATTGATCCTTTAACAGGGAAAACAGCAGAGTGGTTTCATGGTAAGTAACAGAGAGAAATAATTTAGAGGTTTGATAAAGGACACAATTCTTTATAATAGATAGAAGGCAACATGAGTTAGTGAAATTGGCCATGCACCTTGTTTTGTGATGTTTGCTTATTTGTATCACTAACTGGCATGTTGGAGCAGTTATGCTAATTTAACAAATTTGTAAGTTGCTTACTTCCATAATAATATAATAGAAAATATTGTTGAGTGGTACAATAATGCACCTTCAAAACACCACTCACAAGTTAAGCAACAGTGTTTCACTGCAGAACATAATTTTATCATGTTATATCATATTTTAAACTTTTACAGTTTCCGTTTGGCCATTTTTAATAAGCTGAAACAAATTATCAACCAATTTGCCTGTCTAGACATTCTTCTGTAAAAACAACTTTACTTTATGAGATTTATTACAAATTTTTACCATTTTAAGAAGTTATTAACCACCTCCATTTGTCTTATAAAATTGATTATATTTTAAGGCTTTTCAAATTTGGCATAAGTAAACTAAACTGTATTATTTCACACCTTCAGATGCCCTGTACAATGGGCTTAAATCTTTCAGTTGTTTGGATACACAATGTCAAATGGCAGATTTGTCTGGTTTCAGTCTCATTAAGTCATGCCAATGTGAGCAGTTTAAAGTGACGTTAATTAAAATCTTTTCTTATACTGTCTTTGTCCTTTTCTCATTTTGATACTCTCCAAATTTCTCCCCTATATTCTGTTATAGGTGTAATATCAAGGCAGGATGCGGAGGACTTGCTAAGAGGACAAAAAGTTGGAACCTACCTAGTACGAGTCAGTGAAAAAGTCTGGGGCTACACTATTTCATACAAAGCAATTGAGAGATGTAAACATTTCCTTATAGACACTTTGAATGATGGGACATACCAGTTTTTTGGCAGCAATCAATTAGTTCATAAAAATTTAGCAGATATGATAGAGTTCCATAAGGTAAGTTTTGCCATTTAAATTTGCCAGTATGTTGCCTGAGTGTGTGATTCTACAAACCCTTCAAAGTTTTTAGATGTGATTAAGACAAGAAGATTAATTTTTATATGTAGACACTATATAATCTTATAACTATTTAGGACTGTATCGTTGCATCCACCATCTGACACATCTTTTGTTCATCCTGTAACTACCAAACTTTATTTTATTTTTGTTTTGCTCTTTTTCTAAAAATTATTTCTCTAATTACTTGGAAAGATCACAGACAAAATTAAAGGCCTTTCAAAGTTATTTTACATAATTAAAGGAAGCACTTAAGGTTTTGCTTTGGTGTAATTCTCAATGCACAATTTTAAAAAATTGCAAAAAGTTGAATATTACAATAAATAAAGATAACCTTTTACTACATGACTATATCCCTGTTTATATAAATATGTGCATTTTTTTTCAGACAAAACCTATATCTGGCATAGGAAAAGAGCTGTTACTTCATCCATGCAAACAGAAAAGTGATCCCCCAGACTATGCAGAGCTGTTTCAAGAAGAGGACAGGATAACAACTTTCTTATGAAAACAGTTATCAAATGATTTTCATACTTATACATACATAACTGTACACTCTGTTGTTGAAGTGTTGCTCACATTTAGTCTGATACTCAAACTAGAAAATTGCCTATGAAGTTTGGCTGGAAAGAGTTTTAAACAGATTTTAACAAACTCAGAATAAGAATAGACCCTTCAGATTTGTGGAAAATATGGAAATATGCCATTAAAAACGCATTTGATCAGTTGATTGCAGGGTAGAAGGACATTATTTTGGAGTTTTTTCTAACATTTTACTAGTTCCTTGAAATTATAAAAAAAACATGGTCATTGGAATACCTTCCTTTGGTAAAATTAAAAGTGTCATTAATTCTGAATGTTTAAGTTTTGTAAAGGGCGAAGTTTACGTTTTGCTAGAGTTAGTATTGAGAAGTCTTATTTAATGTACTGTATATATTTTATATAGTGTCTATTCATGTCCTATTTCAAATATATGCCTGAAGTTTTCATATTACTGAAGTATAATGAGTGATGAGTATTACTCATTGACCTCACTTTCTGTAGAAATCTACAAAATGTCTCTTTAAACCCTCTGGGTTCAGATCTGTATTTAATGTAAAGTAAACAGCTGATAATTACAACTGCTTAATTTATTAATCATATAATATGTTTGACATTAGAACATGTATCAAAAGATTTCTCATTGCGTACAAAAGTTAGGTCTAAGTACTTATTGATATTTCTAATTCAAGTTCTGTAGTGTACTGTTTTACTTATTTTACATGACTATTGGAGTATGTTAGGCATGCTTATTTAACTAATAGACATGTGGAAGTTTTTTCCTGTCCATTATTGATAGTAATTTAAAGAAAGGTCAGGTGAATCTGAAATCTTCTATAAGTTCAAAACCTTACACTTGTTGACAGGTAATTTCAGATTGGATGCCTACCAGGTGATATTGTATTTCTTTTTGTAATTTTGCAAGATTTTCAGTTATAGCAGTTATTTGTGGTTAGATATGTAGTAATTTAAATCATTCATATTAGTAAGATTTGTCACACAGGCATTCAGGAATGAGTTATATATGTTTAAGGTTATTCATGTTCAGTTTGATATAATTTGCCTTAGCTGATTTTGTAAACAATTTCCATGACAACCACCCTGGTTTCTTATCAGATTGATGGGCTACTTGCCATCAGAGTTACTAGCCTTTATGTGCATTGATAAAATGAAGTGCATTGGGGCATATTGATATGTACAAAGAAATAACTGTGCAATTGAAATACCTATGTTTAAATGAGGTATTTTCTAACCAAAATAATCAAAAGGGCAGTGGATGTCTGCTTTCAGAAACCAACTGATGGCAAATAAAATGATCTGATGATGAAACAATTTAGCAATATTATGTTGCAATTTACTTCATATAGAGTACAACTTGTTATATTGGCAGTTACTGTGCAGGCCTTACAAGGACAATACCAAGTGCTTTTAAGGTCCTGTATCAGGTTTTCACCCCCTTCCCCAGTTATTTCCAGTAGATAACTTTTGTTTATTTGTTATGAAACAATTTTTTTTGTTTTTGAAGTTCAAAAGATTTTAAGTCTACCATCAGGGATTTTTCTTAAATTGCTTTTCTCCTGAAATGGCAATTATGTTGTGCTTGTGTAAATAACCGCAGTTACATTTGTAATAAACTTTTTTTATGATATAAAAAGTTTAAGAAATAGCATCTTCAAGTGAGGTAAGTGTGGAAGGATGTCATAGTTATTTGTATATTTTGCTGCTGCTGTATATTTTAAGATGCTTGAAATGATACTTTGCAAGGGAGTTTCTACCGTCATTCATATGTCTGTGAAACAACACACAATCCCAACAGTTCAGTTTAAGAAAAATGCTCAGCATTTAAAGATCATGGTAATTTGTACATGCTGTATAATTGAGTCTATGAGTCTGCTTTCAGGTTATCAAACATTTGTAATATAGGTGATAAAAGAAATAGACCAGAGTTAAAACTAATAATTGTTAATAGTACAAAATTCCTTTTTTGTGTAATTACAAGTTCTGTAGTCATAAGACTTAATTTCTCTGTTTTAGGTTGCACAGTAATCAAGAAACGAACATAACTTTTGTGTGCATTACATTGTTTTAACAAAATGGAATCACGTAAATGATAGGCCATCATCTCGGCAGTATTTTGCTCATCTTAGTCATCCATTGATTATTGAAATAAAATACATAACAATTTTTTATTTGTATTTTATTCTCTGAATCCTTCTGGCAGGTTTGAGAAAAAATTAATTACAGTTTTTCTTTTCAATTATTTTGTTATACCTTATTTTATACTTAATTCAAAGTGATAATTGGCACAGAAAAAGGCTTTCTGTAATTGCATGAATCATATCAATCTAAAAGCAGCAGTATGTTATTCAAGTTCTCTGCCATGGAGGAAATTTCACAATGATTTGATGGTCCAAATATTCTAGGCTAATGTGGTAGTGGTGACGGTTGCTGTAACTTCCCGTACTCACAATTTACCAAACCATGGCATTAACATCACAATAGAAAGGTGAGCAAGATTACATCTGTCTGATCCAATTATGTCCTGGGACCATTCTGCAGTGAGTGATTTTAAGACACTTATGAAAGATTGATTAAATAATCTGAATCATTCAAACGCTCACAAATTTTTTCATTTTATGGATTAATCAGGAAGACCGAAGACCGTAAAGATTCGCCCGTCTTGTGAGGATGATTTCAACAACTTCTCGATCAAAACGCGCCCTACCTGTGGTCATTTACATAACAATATGACGCTCAGCGTAGAGCGAGTTGTCTTTCAGGATAATCATTTGACGGCTGGATTCTGTAAGAAGTGGACGCAAGATAGGTGTGGTGAAGTCGCAAGGCCAAACATTTCTTTCAGTCCGGAACCAAATATGTCTTGTGAGTAACAATTCATTTACAACCACGTACCAAAATTGTATACAATAGATTGTTTATTTCACTGTAACACATGCATCCACTTGTGTGGATGAAAATGACAATATGAATACAATTTTTGTGAATATGTTATTAAACAATCACAATGAGTAAGAATATTTACTTATTTACTATTAAAAAAAAAAAAATTACTATTACTACTATTACTCAATTGCCGATGAGTGCAGCACTGTCTTGTAGATCCCTCCTAGCAAAAGCAGAGGAGAGAAACTGAGCTAGTGCAATAATGGTTTCTTTTTCTTGACATTTCATAATTATAGTAAATTTTTCATCAGTTGTTTTTAGGCCAAAATGTGTATCGTGTTTTGTAAATACCTTATATAATATTGTGCGCAGGTCGTTGTATAGGGGGCATGTTGTGAGAAAGTGTTTTTCGTCTTCAATTTTGTCTTTAGAACAGTAATGGCATATTCTGTCGGTCCGAGGAGTGTTGTTGTATCTGCCTGTTTCAATGTGAAGTTTATGCCCACTGGTGCGAAAACGGCTTAGGTTTTTTCTTTTATCAGTATCGTGAAGAAGGTCTAGATATTTTTCTTTTTTGAATGTATTTTTGAATTGGCAATATACT